TTTGGTAAGATTTTATTTTTTCATTTATTTCAAAGTTTGTTATCTGTTAAATCATTTTTTTTTGTGATGGTTATTTATAATCTTTTTCAGATAATTGCAGAACCTTATTAATCTGAGTGTTGCTAAAAGAACTAACAAATCTGTCCTGGAGGAAGTGCAGCCAGAATGCTCCTTGGAAGCAACAATGGCCAGACTTCATCTCACCTACTTTGGTCATGTGCATAGGGTCGCTATGAATCAGAGACAATTTGACAGGACCTAATAACAACACCACCACTAAGTCTCCTACTGGTGTCTTTTTTTCATTATAGTTGTGATTTTCCTGGTTCTTGGTTTGGTGAGTGATGTTTTTATTGTATCCTGAACAATTTTAGTACTATGCTCAATTTTTATTTTATTTTAGCAGGCAGTCACCCTGTTTAGGTCAACATGCATGTCCTGGCTTACTTTTGTGGTCTGTGGTTACAATGACAGCCTAATTTTCAGAAACTTTGTGGAGTTATGTTGGTCAGCTTGGTTTATGTCACACCACTAAGTCTTCTTAACAACCTGCCATATGCAGATGACACAATTTTGCTTGCTGAAAGTGAGGATGACTCGAAGCATTTACTGAAGAAGATTCAAGACTATATTACACCTCAATATTAAAAACACACAAATCCTCACAACTGGTCCAATAAACAAGTTCATGATAAATGGAGAAAAGATTGAAGTTGTCAAGGAGTTCATTATTATTTCATTCTACACTCACTACCAATGGAAGCAGCAGTCAAGACATCAGATGACATATTGCATTGGGCAACTCTGCTGCAAAAGACCTCTTTAAAGTGCTGAAGACCAAACATATCTCCTCGAAGACTGAGGTGGGCCTGACACAAGCCATGGTATTTTCAATCATCTCATGCATGTGAGAGGTGGACAATGAATAAGGAAAACTGAAGAAGAGTTGATGCTTTGAGTTGTAGTGTTGGAGAAGAATGCTAAGAGTATCATGGACTGCTAAAAGAACTAACAAATCTGTCCTGGAAGAAGTGCAGCCAGAATGCTCCTTGGAAGCAACAATGGCCAGACTTCATCTCACCTACTTTGGTCATGTTGTCAGAAGGAACCATTCCCTGGAGAAGGTTATCGTGTTTGGTAAAGTGGAGGGTCAATGAAAAAGGGAAAGGCCCTCAATTAGATGGATTGACACAGTGGCTGCAATGTTGGGCTCAGGTACAGCAAGGATCATGAGGCTAGCACAGGACTGGGCAGTAATTTCCTTCTGCTGTGCATAGGGTCGCTATGAATCAGAGACAACTTGACGGGACCTAATAACAACACCACCACCAAGTCTCCTACTGGTCCCTGTTAATGCTATTTCAAGGGGTGAAAGGAGCTTCCCCAGGCTTGTGTCTCTAAGTGGGGGAAGGGAGTCTCTGGGCCTTGGAGATGAAGAGTGCTTCATGGGCTGGCCATTGTTGTGTGGCCAGATATTCTTTGTCAATACCACCACCTACACAGTGTCTTTGAGCAGGAGTGGGGAATGTCTCAGGCCCAGTGGGCAAGGATGGTGCTTGGCCCCTAGTCAGCTGGACTTCTTATTGATCCCCCTTGCCAGTTATACCATATTTGCCTGGTGTTGTCAGCAGGACTCTATACAAAGGATAAATAAGACTACCTAGGCTTCTACTGATTGGTTGGGTGTAGGGGAACACTGGCAGATTCATCTTCTGTTGGGTGAGGAGTTGTAAAATACTCTGACTCTTTTTGTTCCTTGGTACCAGCTTACCTCCCTCTTTTCATCTTTGAGAGTCCCCTCCCCCACCCTTGGATTTATAATTGTATTTAAAACCAAATGAAACTCACTGCTGTGAAGTAGATTCAACTCATAATGACCCCTCCTTGGGTTTCCCAGGTGGTATCTCTATGGAAGTAGATTACCCAATCTTCCTTCTGAGGAGTGGCCAGTGAGTTTGAACCTCTAGGCTCCTGATTAGCAGTCAAATGCATAGTTGTATTTAGTGGGGAGGAATACAGAGAAACAAGACTATGCCATCTTGTCTGGAATAGAAACCTCTCAGTCACCAGTGAAGGGTTTGAAACTTACGAGTGACATGATCAGATTTGGTTTCTGAAAAATCAGTAATAGGTGGCAAGATGGAAGGCAGCTGACAGCAGTTGAGTTTATGAAGGTTTCAGCTAAGACAATGGGAGAAAGAGAGTAGGAAGCAATTTAGAAATAGCTGGGAGGTAAAGATGACAGTCCTTAAGTAGAGAACGTGAAGGAAAAGAAGAGGGTAAATCCTGCAACAAATGAGCAACCAGGATGGAGAGATAGGTTTGCTGACTGAAAGAGAATGCAGGCAGCTTTGTGGGAGAATGCTGGGCTTAGGTTTGAGCATGGTAGTTTTGGTGCCTGGGGTGCAGTGGGAGAGATGCCCAGCAGGCAGCCAGATAGGTAGCACTAAACAGGGAGATTGGGCCTGGGGAAGAGTCAGGGTGGCCCCTGGTTCATGAGCTGGAAATGTAGCCATTAGAGCAGAGGACGAAGAATGGAGCAAACATACTTTCACATCCTACAACAATAGTGTGCTCTGATTCCCCTTTTCCCCCCTGCTTGCAAAGGCTGGGTGATAACAATGTCTCATTCATCTCTGTTTTCCCATGCCTGGCACAGGGTGGATGTTCAGTGAATCTGGGTGGTGGAGTGGGTTGTGCATAAACAAATAGTGTATTTTGGGGAGGCAAAGGGGAAATTTTTTATTCTTGGAGGTTGTGGCCGTGGCAGCTACCAAAAATGGAAGTAGGCGTGTTTGTGCCTGAGATACTTGACTGCTAACCAGAAGACTGGCGGTTCAAACCCGCAACCCGCCAGCCACTCCTCGGAAGGAAGGTTGGGCAATTTACCTCCCTAGTGATACCGCCTCGGAAACCCAAGGAGGGGTCGCTGTGTGTCAAAATCCACTCCACAGCAGTGAGTTTGGTTTTTGGTTTGGTTTCTAGTACCTAGAGAACTGAGGGGCTGGGAGGACAAATCAGCGAGCGTTGTAGAGACCCAGGGCCTAGGAAGCAGTCTCAGCCGCTTAGGGCCTGCTTTCCTGCCAGCGCTCCCGCCTTCCCTGGTTGCCATAGGGACTGCAGGCAGTTTCCATGGAGACCTACGACAGCGAGGACCAGCCAATCGCGCGAGATCTCCACCCATCAACCCCGCCCGCTGCAGTCCACTTTGGGGCTGGAGGAACCTGGCTGGTACTGCCTAGGATCCCCTCCTTGTGCCTCACACACCCTCTATGGATCCGCCAGTCGCAAGGGCAACATGTGGTGGTAGCAGGAGGCGGTTCCGTGGTCCTTTGCTTCGTGAATCTTCCCACAGAGGTCGCGCGAGGGCCTGGCACGTGCCCGACCCCCAGCGGCCTGCCCTCTCCACCCGACTTTTGGAGTAGCCCCGGCCTCTGTTCGGGCAGGCTGAGAGGTGCTGCTCACCCGGAGCCAGTACAGCCGCCCCGGCCCGGGCTCCTCATGGGCACGTCGCCTAGCTGAGCGGGCAGATTGGTGCACCTGCTCGGTTCGCTGCAGCACAGGGGTTAGGTGTTCAGGAAGGAGGCAGTACTGCCCCGCCCGTTCTGCGCCCCGCGCCCGCCGCATCGCCTGGCAGGAGCGCGCACACGCTCACTCCGGGCGCCAGGCGGGCGGGGCATTAGCGTCACGCGACCCCCTCCTTTGGCCGGCGGAGGGGCGGTGGCCACGCAGGCTCGGCGGGCAGCTGCACGCACCAACTGGCCCACCGACCGACTGACTTGACTGCCGGCCCGGTGGGTGCACGGCCTGGCCATGCCGGGGGAGGCGGCCCGCGCGGAATTGCTGCTGCCGGAGTCTGGCAGCTCCGGCCCTCGCACAGGTGAGGCCCTGGCCCTACGTTCGCGCATCCCTCTGCACCCGCGTTCCCCCTTTTGGGCCCCGCCGTCTCCCCCTCCCCGCTCACTCAGGCGTCCTCATTCTCTCAGGTCCTTCCCTCCCTCCACCTTGCCTCCAGCAGCCCCACTCAGGGGAGGGGCGCAGCCAGGGAGTGTCGTGGGGGCATGTCCTGGGAGTGGGGCGCTGAAGTGAGTCTTGTATGCCAGCCGGGGGCCAGGCGCCGCGCTCCATTGTCTGCGAGGAGCTGTGGCCCGGGCGTGGCGGGGCGGCCCGGGGCTGGCAATACCGGAGGCTCCGGGTGGCGGACTAGCTACAACCCTGAATGCCTAACTCGCCCATCCTACCCCCAGGGGGTGCGGAGCCGGGAAGGGGTCGGAACTGCACTCTGGCGCCATTGGGGCCTTGCGGCCTGCAGAGCCGCCCTCCCGTCGAGATACCCTAGGGCTGCCCTAGGGGACAGGCGAGATAGGATGGGAAAATGACAGGACTGATCACCGTTCCAGGGGAGCAGCGGCACCAAGTTCGAGCCTGTGGATGCTCTCAGGCCAAAGGATGGGCTGTGGGAGAAATGGCAGCGTTGAGTCTGCGAAGTTGGTGAGGGGCAGCAGGGAGTTAGGGAGAGGCTAGGAGAGCAGTGGCAGGGATGCAGACAATCCCGTGACCTTGGAGCGGCTGTGTCAGTGTTGCTGGAGGCAGATGGAATCTGTTTTGAGTCTGGGAAAGTTCATAGGGTGGTCTCCAGCATCCAGTTCAGGCATTGTGGAATGATGCCACCCAGCTGCTCATGGACTCAAGGATGACCAAGGGCACCTTGCTCAGTGGGCAAGGTGTCAAGGACTTTGGACCTGGGGATAGACCATTGTTCAGTGCAGAGGCAGAGGAGGCGAACAGGCTGCCCCTCCCAGGGCCAGTAGAGGAGAACGCAGTGCGGGCCTCCAGGCCCCAGGTCTGAGGTTTTGTGCTGGCTCTGCTCTACTTCCATTAGCTTGATGACCTTGAACAAACCTTTGGCCTTCAGTTTGCCTCTTCTATTCTGACTGTGGTACAGTCTCTCCCCATCACCTTTACCCAGGAAAGCCCTATCTTCCAGATACTCAGTGCCACCCCACACTCCTCACCAGCCACACCCACACCCGTGTTGGGTCTCATTCTGACCCCAGAGGACTCAAAGTCCCTCAGGACTCTGGCTGTCCCAGCACCCAGCTTCCCAGCTCCTGTAGGAACCCAAAGTGGAGTTGGCCTGAGGATGCATTCCAACCAACGAGCCCCAAGGCACCCCCCTGGAGCTCTGACCCTGTCCAGGGGAGACAGGCAGATTGACCAGGAGGGTTTTGCCCTTCTCTAAGTTTTATCTCCAAGCTCAGCAGAGATCTTGCCAGGAGGTATGTACTTGATTTTAGAGATGAGAAAGCTGAAGCACTGGTAGGAGGTCACACAAGGAGTGTGGTGGGACTGGAGCTGGACCGGGGCTTTCTGGAACCTTGCTCTCCCTGTAGCCAAGGACTCAGCCCTACCAGGTATTCTGCATTGCCACCTCCCTTGCTTCCCTCTCTTGGGCAGTGACTGACCTGAGCCTTTGGGGGCAGTAGTGGGGCCTTCAGCAGATGCTTCAGACATAGGTCTTGGCCTGAAGGTCCATGTGAGCAGACTGCTGGGGGGCTGGTGGGCATCTCTTAAAGGGGACTCACAGCTGTTGAAAATGAGGCTCAATAGCATGTGGAATGTCATGGAAAAATGCATATGAGAAAATGTTGGGTAAAAACAGGAAGGTTCAAAACTAAGTATGCAGTATGATCTCAACTAATAAAATATGGGTCTGAAAGACAAGAAGGAATAACATTTGCAGAGGTTTGGGTTGTAGTGTTAAGTAAGAGGCTCTTTTCCACTTCCCTAGGCTTCCTAAGGAGCTCTGGTAGCATAGTGCCTAAGGCACTTGACTGCTAACCAGAAGGCTGGCAGTTCAAATCTACAAGTCATTCCTAAGAAGGAAGGTTGGGCAATCAACTTCCTTAGTGATACTGCCTCAGAAACCCAAGGAGGGGTCGCTATGAGTCGGATCTAACTCAACAGCAAATAACAACAATAGGTTTCCTAAGTATTTCACAACACATAGTCATGATTTGTGTGTGTGTGTCAAGTTGTCAGGTGGAGGTGTGTGTTTGGTTCACAGATGGGTAGTAAGTTCTGCCCTATCCTGAGGCCGTGTCACAGTGGAGCTTCATGGGATGAAGGGTGGGGTGTATGTGGCAGAGCAGGAAGGTAGTTTATTCTGTGAACAGGCTGGGTTGCCCCTTCTTGTTCCTGGTTCCCAGCAAGGTGGTGGACCCAGCTTATGCTAGGGAAGTGCAACAGTACCCACAGGCTGCCATGCTTGCTCTGTAGGAGGCATATTGGGGTGGCTACCATTGCAGGCAGGCTTGAAGCTTCTCCAACCCCTCTGTGAGCTGGTTGGCTCCCTTCTGGACAGGGCAGCCCTTTCTCTTTTGGTGCCCATGTGAGGGGTGATGTCATGCCTGCACAGCCCTTCAGGCCTGACACCTCAGAAGTTTGCTACACCTCAGCTACATCTCAATAGGATGCCATGCCTCTATAATCTCTCGAGACTTGGTTGCATGTAGGGCCCTGGTACACTTTTCCTTGTGCCAAAGGGGCAGTGATAGAGGTCAGAGCCCTAGTGAGGTCCTGGCAGGTTAGCCTAAGTGTTGGCCTATATGGCAAGAGCAGGCTTCAGAAGAGCCAGGGATGGAGGGGGAAAACCCCTCAACATGTTGTTGTTGTTATGTGCCGTTGAGTCAGACCCGACTCATAGCGACCCCTTCTTGGGTTTCCGAAGCAGTATCACTACGGAAGTAGATTGCCCCATCTTCCTTCCGAGGAGTGGCTGGTGGGAAATGAGACCTAGGATGGGAATGAATTTGGTATAGTCATACCATGTGGTTAGAACAGAACTGGAATTGATGCAGGACCCTAACCCCCAGGTTGGGCCCTTCGCCTTACTTTATATGGCAAGCCTGTTGGGGAGATCAAGGAAGGACTTTAGGCTGCCCACAGATTCAAGTTGTTTTGTGAAGCCCCGCTAGGATTACAATAAAAGCAGCAGCAAGCCAGTTTCCAAAGGAGATGGGAAAACAAATCTTTACAGAAGTACGAATCTTTACAGAAGTTTCTCAGAGAAAAACCAAGGGGAGAATCCACTTATAACCTGTATCAAAACTCCCTCAGGCCTCTTCTTGCCTTGCCCCAGCTCTAGGCCTGAAGCTGTGGCCAGTTGCTTAATGCTGTCAGAACTCCTAAAATCCCTCCCTCGTGCCCTCCACACAGCTGTTTTTCTCCCTCATCTTCCCAGACCAGCTCTCTTTTAAGCCCTTTCAAATGTAAGCCCATCACACGTTCTGGGCTCCCCTTACTCTGGGCCAGTCTCACATCAGAGAGGAGAGGCAGTACAGCTTTGGAGTGCTGCTTCTCTTTTAAGTGGCAAATGCTTTAGCATGAGTTCAAAGAGGCCATTCTAGACACTGCCTTTTCTTCTCATTTCCTCTCTCCCCACAGATTTGTCCTGTGATGCTGCTACTGCTATCATCCCAAGTGGGGACCGGCTGGAGCACTGTGCCCTACTGCCAGGCCCCAGGTCCCTGGCTGTCACATTCCTGCCCAGCAAGCCAGGCACCCGACCCCAGCCTGAGGGAGCCAGCTGGGATGCAGGGCCTGGCCAGGCCCCATCAGCCTGGGTGCTCCCAGCTGAGGGCAACTCTAGCCTAGTGTCTCCTGAGGGCCGGCCTGTAGAGGTTCCCCACTCAGCCACTTTGGAACCACGGATTGTGATGGGCCAGGAGACCTACAGGGTCTCCCTACTGCCCAGAGCAGCCCCTGCAGAGCTCAGGAACTGGGCAGGTGGGCACACTGACCTGAACCCACCCCCTGAGTTATATTCTCAGGGTGACCCTCCTGTGCCTTTCCCTCACTCAGACCCTGATTCCTACTTCACACCCCCCTCAACCCCTCTGCAGGCCACCTGTGCCCTGCCTCCAAGCTTCAGGCCCTTCAGAGAGGCCTGTGATTCTGAGGCAGAGCTGCTTGACTCACCACCCACTTCACCCTCAGGCTCCTACATCACAGCAGATGGGGACAGCTGGGCTTCCTCCCCATCCTGTTCTCTCAATCTGTTGGCTCCAGTGGAAGGGCTGGACCTCCCTTCAGGTTGGGGCTTCTCTCCCCCAGGCACTGTGGGTGGGGAGCGGGAGCCTCATGCTGCTGGGCCTCCAGGCTCCCACTCTTCTGCATCCAGCCTCTCCCCTGACAGCAGCTCTTCCTGGGGCCAGGAGGAACACCTCTTTGACCTGGACTTTCTAGCAAATGACGTGATGATCCCTGCAACCCTCCTGCCTTTCCAGGGCAGCCTCATCTTCCAGGTGGATTCAGTGGAGGTCATGGTGCTGCCCCACCCAGAGGAGGAAGAGAAGGAGGAGGTGGCAGAAGCCAAGACTCCTGGCCCAGGTGGAGACCTGGGTGAGGAGGGTGAGGACGACAGCACTTCTGTTTCCTTCTTACAGTCACTGTCAGACATCTCCATCATTGAAGGTGTAGATGAAGCCTTTGCTTTCCGAGATGATACCTCGGCAGCCTCCTCTGACTCGGACTCAGTCTCCTATGCTGGTGCAGATGATGAGAGGCTGTACAGTGGGGAGCCACATGCCCAGACCAGTGCCCTACTTCAGGTTGAGGAGAGGCAAGAGGACTGGGTTCCATCCTCAAGCCAAGAGGGGCCCACACTCCTTGTACCAAAACAAGTTGCTGAAATAACACTGGCCCAGGTGCCACGTGGTGAGGGAAGCTTCCTCTTGGGCCAGGTAACAGTAACACCTTGGGCCACAGTAACACCTCATGCTTGGCCAGCAGAAATATGCTCTGGTGTGAGCATAGAGCCAGCTGCCATGGGCCCACCTCAACCTGGGGAGGAAACAGCAGACTCTTCCATAAGGCAAGCAGAGGTTGCCAGGGTAACACCTCCGCTTCTGCTAGAAGGCCTCACCTTAGGCCAGGTTGCTGAGGAAATACCTCTGACCTTACAGGAAGAAGTAAGCGTTACCATAGGCCATGAGACTGCTGCTACAGGAATGCCTCAAACCCTGAAAGAAATCAGTCTTATACCACATTCAGATTCACTTGCTATGTCAATGACTCTTCAGAACAAGGAGGTAGGCCCAGGCCTCACCTCAGGTCAAGAGTCTGTTGCTATAGCAACGCCTGTGCCCCTGTGTGAAGGATGCATTTTATGCAGGGAATCTGTTTCAATGACAACTCCTTTGACCCTGCAGAGAAAAGCCAGCTTCACTTTACACCGGGAATCTATTTCTATGGCAACACCTCTTCCCCTGCAAAGAGAAGCAGTCCTCCTCTTAGGCCAGGAGCCTGAGGAACCATATGCTATGACAACCCTTCAGACCCTGCAGGAAGTAGGCTGCCCCCTAGGGACAGTGCCAGCTGCTCCTATGGCAGCTGTGGCCCAGCATGAAGTAGGTGTAGCCCTAGGACTGATGCCTGCTTCTGAGCTAGTGGCTGTGGCAAAGCCACTGGCCATGGAGCCAGAAGCAGAAGCTGTAGCCTTGGACCAGGCCCAACAAGATAAAGTAGGCCCCACCTTAGACCTGGAGCTGGTGGCAGAAGCTGTGACCCCCTGGGCCTCAGGGAAAGATGCAGATCTCACTTCAGAGCCTGTACCTGGTTGGGGGGAGGGGCAGAAAGCAATAAGGGATCCTTTGAGGCCTGAGCCAGAGGTGGCCAGTGGCTTCCAGCACAGAGATGATGGGGCCAAAGGGCTTGACAGCCAGGGGAATGGAGGCCTCCCTGGAGGGACACAAGGTGCTGGGAAGGCTCTGGGGAGTAACAGCTGGGCAGTAGATCGAGCCACTAGCTCCAAGTTCATCCAGGAAAGAGGGCCTGAGCTGTCTGCTTCTTTGGCCTCAGAGGCCAGGCTTGGCTCCAGCTTGGACTCTTCAGCAGGGGCTCCAACACTCCCACCTCCCTCCTGGCAGGTGAAGCCTGGGGCCGAGGCTGGCCTCAGAGACCCCCAGCCTGGCCTGAGCCTGGAGGAGCCTGCTCAAATGGCTTCCAGCAGCCTCAGCCACTCCCCCTGCTGGTCCTCAGTACCCTATGCCCAGGATCTGCCCAACACAGCCCAAGAAAGGTCCCTGCACCCTGACACCACTTCCCCTGGTCTCCTCACTGGGCCAGCCCCTCCCTACCTTGCGGCCCCTGCCCCTTGCCTTTGTCAGGGGCCTGGAGAAGACTGCAAGGGCACTGGGTCCCTAGGCCTGCCAGGCCTGCAATTGCTTGGCACAGATGCTCAGCGGGCAGCAGCTGCCATCTCAGGAAACCTGGTACCTCCTGCGGCTGGGCAGCAGACTGGCCTCTTGTGCTCCTCCCCCCAACTCAGCCCCAAGGCAGCCCCCTTGGGGGGCCCCAATGCCAAAGACCTGGCTACTCATGTCTGCATCCCCTGCCAAGTACCTCCAGGCTCAGGGCCCTGCTCCCCAGCCAGCCCACTGGGGCTCCTAGTCTCTGAGCAGCAAGAGGACCAGGACAGCCTTGAGGAAGGTAAGGGGGAGGTAGGGTGTGTGTGTGTGTGTGGGGAAGCTCCTCCCAGGGTTGGTGCTGCTGTCCTCAGCTGGAGGGAGCCCCGCAGGTGAGGGTGGACCCCACACACTGGGAGGGGTGGACCTCCACACACAGGTGAGGGGCAGATTCAACACTCCAGAAAGGGCAGACTTCCCCAGATGAAGCGCAGGCGTTCCTACTTCCAGGGGGGCAGGTCTACCTGTGATCAAAGGCCAATTATTTTTGCTTCCAGCCCTGGGGCTGTATCCATGACTGGGCCTGAGCTGCTGCTGCTTCCTTCTCCCCCAGACTTGGTGCAGGCTCCCGGCTCGGGCCACCATTCAGATAGCCATGCAGAGTCATCAACCCCTGAAACGGAGGAGCAAGACCTCACAGCCTCTCGGACAGCTCAGTGCCCATCCCAGGTGGCTCTCCCTACCCTGGCACCTTGGTCTAAGGGAGGGGATGAGCTTCAGGGGGGCTGAAGGATGAATGGTGTAGCTCCAGCTTCCCCAACAGTGCTTGGTCTTCCTTCCTGTCCCCAGGCCTCAAGGGTAAGCAGTAGTGAAGAGACCATTGCCAAAGCCAAGCAGAGCCGCAGTGAGAAGAAGGCCCGCAAGGTGGGTGCCAGGTGCAGTGAGGGCCTTTTACCTGGGAAGGGGCTGGCTGGCCTAGAGAACTGAATGGGAAGGCTCTGTCCCCCAGGACTGTGACCCATCTGCAGCAGGGGAACACTGCTGGCCACTTTGCAACCCCATTCACAGGGGCTCCTTGGGTAAATGTTAGGAACCCTCAGACAAATGGAGTACTGGGCCTTCACCTTGTCAGACAGCTTAAGTTACAAGGTTAGAGTTGAAACGGATTTAGCAATACAGCAAGTCTAATCCTCTTGTCTCAGAGACAGGGAAGGATGGCTCTGCCTGTTCCTTTGGCAGAGGGCTGACATCTAGCCTCCAGCTCAGAGGCAAAGATGGAGGTCTGATCCCCTCTGCCCCCCAGGCTATGTCCAAGCTGGGCTTGCGGCAAATTCAGGGCGTCACCAGGATCACCATCCAGAAATCCAAGAACATCCTCTTTGTCATCAGCAAGCCCGATGTTTTCAAGAGCCCAGCCTCTGACACCTACGTTGTCTTCGGCGAGGCAAAAGTCAGTCTTGGATATGGGTGGAGGGTGGAGTGAGGGAGCCAGGTACAGGCTGCTTGATACCCTGCCTTATGTGCCTGCAGATCGAGGACCTATCCCAACAAGTGCACAAAGCTGCAGCAGAGAAGTTCAGGGTACCCACCAAGCCCTCAGCCCACACTTCTGAGTCAGCTCCAGGGCTGCAGGGAAAGCTGGAGTGCCAGGAAGAGGAAGAGATAGAGGTGAGGCTGTGAGATGCAATTGGGCTCTGCTTTGGTGGCTCAGTGGCTTTCTCCCACCTCCTGCTTACTCCTTCCTGCAGGTGGATGAGACAGGTCTGGAGCTTCGGGACATTGAGCTGGTGATGGCCCAGGCCAATGTGTCGAGGGCCAAGGCTGTGCGGGCTCTAAAGGACAACCACAGTGACATCGTCAATGCCATCATGGTGAGCAGCCAGCTGGACCATTCAGGAGGTGGCAGGACAATATATCCCTGGGTGTCCAAACCAGAATGCCCCACTTGCCTTTCCAAGGGCCTAGTTTAAGTTCCTGCTCCCTCTTTCCTCACCTAACACCTCTTGTATTTCTTGTAGGAGCTGACAATGTAGTTACCGGATAGCCAGCTCTTCCAGCCATTCCCTGCCTTCCCTCCCAGTGCTGCTATTCAATAAACCTATACCATTCAGTGCTGCCTCTGCTCCTGGGTGGTCAAGGAATGGGCAACTGTCCATAGTGAGGACAGTAGTCACCTGAGGAGGGACATAAGATGATCTGGCTGAAGGAGTGGACTCTGTGGCCCAGAGGAGTGTCTTGGGGACAATTTCCAGAAGGTACTCTCTCCAGAAGCAGTAGTCCTAGGAAAGTGTCAATGGGGCATCACAAGCTGGAGACTCTGCATGGGACAGTCTTTTGCTCTCAGTAAGGATAACCAATAAAATGCCCCAGACCCCATTCCCTCAGGAGGAAGTTCTGGGCCCTTCTGCAGGTCCAGTTTGGCCAGAGGACCGTGCCTCCTATATCCCTTCCATGGACTACCCTCTTTCCTGCAAATGACCTACAATGTGGGGCTGCATCTTGGGGTGGTAGGGATGGGCATGCATACACCTGGGGTATGCCTCACAAAGAAAGAGCACACACATGGCATCAGGGTTAACATTCATGGGGTACTGTTGCAGTCCCATTAAAAGCCCTGCATGACCTTTGGTCTTGTGCCTTGGCAGGGGTGGGACATAGAGCCCAAGGAGCTGGGTCTTGTGTTCAGGTATTTCCAAGGCAGGGTCTATTTGTGTGTATATCTAGAGAGAGTAACCGAAACAGTATTCACCTTGGCTTTTCCCTAGCTGGGCCTGGGGTCCTGTGACCAACCAGGACAGAAAGGAAGATGTTTCCTCACAAAACCCTGTTGTGCTGGAAGTCTGAGCAGTCCCACCCCTCCATCTTGCCTTGAAACTTGTAATACATGCCTTGTAACATGTAATACATCCACTTCTGCTCAGGACGGAGCTTAAGGAAGAGATTTGGCCCTTCCAGTACAGTCTACTATAAGCACCCCTCATCATCAGCCCTTCCCCCTACCCAGGGCAGTGGGCTGGGGATGGGTTCTGCTATTATTGCAGGTGGCTGGAGCTTTCTGATAGAGGAGGGCAAGTTCAGACACAACCACTCTTTGCTTCATTCCCAGGTGTTGAGGATCATGGGTACCCTGACTAGATAGAGGTATCCCAGGAAAGATGCCCACTCGGAGGGACTGAGTTCTGGTGGAACCAAGACCAGTGCGCTCAGGAAAGAGATGTCTCTGCTTCTAGGGGGACGAGGGCATGAGTGTTAGCCAGGCCCAGGGCCTACCATCTTTAGTCTCTAAGATACAACACTCAACTCAGAGACAAGGTACCCAGGCAGTTAGTTTTGGCAGCTAGGGACATGAAGTGGGGAGATGCTGGCAAAGGCACACATTAGGGGGATGAGGGCTCATGTAAGCCCCAGGATCAGTAACCAGCATCTGCTGGAGGAAATCTCAGTGGGGACATATAGTCCACCCAGGCCCAGGGCTGGTCAGAATGGGTGGAGGCCCAGCAAGTATGCACAGAGCTGCAAGGCCAACAGTGCCTGGGCAGAGCACCCCTGTACGCAGTGAGGAAGCAGGGCCAGTAGGAACGAGCCAGGGAGGGTCTATAGGAAAGGCCTCTTGAATAGGTAGGTGGTGGATACTTCCCTCATGGTGCAGTATGGGCCTTGGCACAGGGGAAGACTGGAGTGGGCAAGGCATGTCGCCAAATGGGCACAGCACAGGCCAGGCCAGGAGGGAATGTGCAAAGGCTACATATGGAATTGCCAATGGAGCACAGGGTCCTTTCTCCCATCTGCTACATAGCCCCAAGGTCCAGGCTGTCCTTTGCTGTTAAAGCTTGCCTGGCACAGCCTGGCCCAGGCCTGTCAGGGCAGCAGTATGTAAGGCTGGCTCCAGGATTTCCACCCAAGGCTGGAAGACACTGGACTTCCACTGCCTGGAAGACACTGCTTTCTGCACTAACTCTCCTACCCAACTGAGTAAGAACTGTGTCTGGCCAACAAGAGATTTAAATGACTCACATTGTAGCTAACTTCCTTTAAGGTCTCTGAGAGTCATAACAGGAACACCATGTGCAAAATCGGAAACTTGTATAGGGAATGACTGACAGTAGGGAGGTTCTCAGAGTTGACCCAGCCTGTCCTGGGTGGACACTGTGATGTAGGAGTGGCTGCCAGAGAATGAAGTGTTGGCCTCTGCCCCAGCCCCACAGCTGCTGTGCATGACAGGGACAGCAAGGATACATGCTTCTGCACAGGGGCAGCACCAGGGCTGGACACAGTGACCAATGTCACTCCAGCCTACAGTTCAGGGTGGAGGAGCCAACCCATGGAGGTCAGCTGGGATAGCCATGGAAAGAAGACCTGGCTTCTCCCACCACCCCCACAGCCCTGGCCCCAAGGATGTGTCATGCAGAGTCCTGGTCCATGCTACAGCCCAGTGCCTCGATGTCGTTGCTGATGTCTGAGATCATGCGGTCCCACTCATCCCCTTCAGAGGGTAAGGACTGGTCATCGGAGCTGCCTGCGGCCCTGTTCCCATTGGTGGTGGAGCTGGAAGCAGTGCTGGCGGCCCGCCGGTACCTGCCAAAGCTATCTGTGATGATACCTCGGCCATCCTTCACCCCAATTGTCTCCAGGAAGTTCTCGAAGTGCTGGCTGTCCTTCTCAGGGATGAAGGGCCGCAGACCTGGAAGAGACATAACTGTCACAACCCCATCCTGACAGACAATTGAGTGTCTCCTGGCAACAAGCTGTGACTGCAGCAGCTCTTTGGGGCATCCTGGCCTGGAGGACTGGCCTGCTCCACACCATGTCTTGGACATTTGCTGTGTAATTGGGGCAGCTGAGATCACAGCCGTGGGCTGGCACAGTGGGATCCAGAAGCCCTCAGCTCTCCCAGCCTCAGAGAAGCTCACTTCACAGGCTGAATGGCAGAGCTGTGGTGAGGGTAGTGAGCTGCACACCAGGCTTGTTCCCATCTGTGAGACAAGGGCTTATGACAAAAATAAAAAACCAAAGACAAAAGGCAGAATTCCTGACTGAGGCTGTCCCCCTTGCTGGGCCCATGTAGGGTGGGCCTTCTGTGGGGATGCAGACCTTCCATACTAAACTTCTTCAAATTTGCCTTCCCGGACCTCAGCCTTGATAAGGGTCTGGTTTCACGGGCACACTTCATATGATTTAAAGTCCTGTGACGAGGCAAAGGAGTTGACTCTGGCTTTTCAAACAAACAGAATGTGACTTGGTAAGAGGAGCATCTGAGTTGGACCTGGCATTGAGCTCTAGCCCAGTGATTGGCTCCAGGGAGGAGGTGACCAGAGCCTGATAGGCCCTTCTCAGGCCTTGTGGTTCTCTGCCTGACAGCAGAAGCCTTCAGGGGAAGGCTGGTTCCTGTGGCACAGATCAGACCCATGAGGTCTTCAGCTACTGCTAATTAGCCAGCCTGCAGGAACCAGCCCTGTGCCACTGCTCAGGTGTGACTCAGGCGGCTAAGCTTGGTCTTAGTGTTCAGGGCCTGGACACATGCTGGGCCCTAAGCCTTGGCACTTGGGCAGAGGTGGGGCCCGCCCCCTGTAAAGGTATTGCCTGCTCTGCCAAATACTCCTTTATCTCCTTCAGGAGCAGCCTAGCCCTCCTTAGCTGGCACAGATTCCCCTCCAGCACTCATCCCTTCACTGCCTGCTTTGGTTAATGCCTGTCCTACTGCCTTTGACACCTCCCTGCCTCCTCAGGGCCTTGTCACTGTACTCTGAGGATACAATGAGTGCTATGGTCTGACTCTTCTGTGGCACATTCCCAGTCATTGGGAAAAAAATTTCAACAAGAAATACATGGATTTTCCCCAGGACTTTTGGTACTCGCTTTGATAGTAAACTTCTGGTTTAAATCTCTCACTACCTAACAGCACCTGTGGCATGCTCACCCAGAAGTAGGAACTTGCGGCTGTCCCCATAGAGCTGTCGCAGATTGATGCAGAACTCATGGATGGAGGCTCCGTTGCGGTACTCATGCAGCAACATGGCAAACTGCTGGATCTCTTGGGATGACAGCTTGGTGCGCAGCTGCAAGAGAGCAGAGACACTGGGATAGGGGTAAGGGGCAGAAGGGCTGGTAGAGGCCTCTGCTCACTGCTCTTGTCTGTGGCTTTGCTGGAAGACTGGGCCAGAGTTATCCATGCCAGGCAAAGCCTATGGCCATGGGCACCAAGCACTCAAAGTGTACACTAGGCATGTGTGGCAAGATCTGATACCACTGCCATCTCTTCTCTATACTCTCCCATCACAGCTCCAGAGGGGGACCATCTAGAAGATGGTTGAGAGAGCAGGAGCCCCGGTCTCCTAAGCCACTGTGTGGGCCCCTGAGACACTGGCTCTTTCTCAGGGATTATAGGACCAAGAAAATAGGAGGGTGCAGAAGCTCCCTAACCACAGCATCGTGTAAGGGGCTCACTCCTACTCCCCATAATGTAGAAGAAGCTCATTCTCTGGGATACCCTGTTCTGCCTTATTGTGATAGAGCAGATGCAGCATCTAGAAAATGCTGACCATAGTCAGCCAATGTCAAGAGTTGGCCAACCTTAATGAGAGCCAAAGGGCATCACTGAACTGACTGACCACATTCAAACCTGGTGCCTAAGCCCACACCTGAGTGCCATCTATGATAGCACAATCAGGCAGGGCAACTGGGCTTTGAAGCTCAGTGGAAAGAGGAAGCAGTTGAGGTGTAAATGGTCATTCAGGCCCTTCTGGGGAGTGAGCACATAATCCCAGGCCTTGGATGGGTTCACAGTCCTGCCCCAGAATCCAGAGTTTTGCCCACACACTCAGCCCAACTTGAACATCTGCTCCCTGCTCTACCTGAAGAGAAGGAAACCCTACATTCCCCCACCCCCTAGTCTGGCCCATCATGACCCCACTCAACAATGCTCAAGCTTTTACGAATAATAGCACCATCTTTTGGGGAGGGCCCTCCGTCTGGGTGCTGTCTCAGGACTTTCAGCCAGAGTACAGCCCATTTTGAGCATAACTGCAGTCAGCTACTCTTGGACCTGACTCTGTCTGTGGCCCCGGTACTGAGGAATGGCATACTGTCAGCATGTAGTCCTGCAGCAGCTCGGTGGCTGTGGTACTCAGCTCACTCTCACTGGCCGTCTTGGGGTGGGGTGATGGTGGCATGCAGAAGGACAAGGATGAGAGGCCACCTGTATCCGTGGGATCAGGAAATGAGCTGCAGAAGACAGAGGTATGTGAGAGAGGAGCAGGGGCCCTGGCTGCTTTACTCTGCAAACATGCTGGACTTGCTACCCTGGGATATACCAGGGCCAGGCAGAAGTAGGAGGTGAGGCACCATGACAAGGAGTCTACCTGGTAGACAGCAGAGGCCTTGGTAAGGTTGGGCAGAGGATGGAGGGGTGTCTACTTACAAAGTGCTGGCCTCGGTCTCGTAGGCTTCTTTGATGTCCACTTTGGTGGATGAATCATCTATGAGGAAATTGTGAACACACGGACTTTCAGTTACACAGTCAGGCCTAACAAGTTTGTCATCAAACTGTGAACAGGGTTATAGGAGCGATTATGACTGCTGGCCTTTGAAGGACCTGCCCCCATCTATTCATCAGACTCCCAGGAGCAGCACCACTCAGGGCATTGATGTGCACCCTGGGCCTTATCCACACATTCTGACACAGCTGGTGAGGCTGCTAGCCATGGCTAAGATTTGATGACAGTGTCTCCTCTAATCCAACCAGGTACCATTACAGTTCCCTGTTTTCTATGAAGAACTGAATCAGAGATGTTAAGTAACCTGCTTAACAGCTTAACTTCTCACATCTGGTGAGAGCAGCTCACCAGCTGCTCAGAGCCATCTTGCCTGATGCCCTGGCCTGGATGGACACAACAGCTCAATGAGGGCTGAGATGAGACATCCAGCTTCCCCAGACCCCTAGCACTGGCAAAAGGTCTGGCTCAGGCAGTTACTTGGGAGGTGCTTGGCCAACATCTTGCCCATATAACAACACATTTTTGAGTGCGAGTCAGAACCAGAGGACAGGCATATTAAGTGCAGTGATCATCAGCCAGAGAGAGCATTAAGAGACAGGCAGGCAAGTTGGGTGCAGGACTTTAAATGGGAGTGGATGGGAGAGAATCAGGAGAAGGACATTTCCTGCAGGGTAGACAAAGTAAGTGTGGCTGGTAGCACAATGGGCCCCAAAGACACCTGTGTCTGGAGTCTGTGAATTGCAGGTTGCATGGCAAAGGAGAATTAAAGTTGCAGACAAAATTAAGGTTGTTCATCAGCTGATCCTAAGGTAGAGAAATTATCCTGGTTTATGCAAGTGGGCCATGGTTATTCCCCAAAAAACAAAAAACCAAACTATGTGCTAGAGTCAGTTCTGACTCATGGCAACACAGTGTCTGCAGAGGAGAACTGCTCCATAGGATTTGCAAAGCTGTGACCTTTTGGAAGCAGATCACCAGGCTTGTCCTCTGAGATGCCTCTGGGTAGGTTTGAACTGCTAACCTTTTGGTTAGTAATTAAGCACTTAACCATTTGCATCATCCAGGGACTCAAAAACAAGGGTCTTAAATGTGTAATAGCAATCTGAGAGATGAAGGTGAAGTGTCTACAGAAGCAGGGTCAGAGAGATGTGGGATATGAAGCTGAAAAGGGCAAGGAAACGGGTTCTCTGAACTCTCCAGAAAGAAACACAGCCTTGTCAACACCTTATTTTAGCTCCATGAGACCCATGTTGAACTTCTGACTCCTAGAACTGTGAAACAATAAATGTATGTTGCTTTAGCTGCTTAAGTTTTGGGATCTGTGACTGCAGCCACAGGACTAGATAGTAAGCAAAGCCTGAGGCACAATCAGAGGACTGCTCTGTGTGTGTGTGTTGTGTGTGAGCACCCCAGGTGATGTGAGCAAAAAGGTGTGCAATCGATCATGTAGAGGAAAGGTAAGCACAAGAGTATGCCCACATCGTAAAAACTCTTGAAGTGCAAATGTAGGACATGCTTCTTCCTTTTTCTTTTTAATTTTATTGTGATCTGGGTGAAAGTTTACAGAGCAAATTCATCTTCCATACAAAGATATGCATTTTTCAGTTAAAAAAAAAAAAAAAAGACCCATTTGGGAATTTTTAAAGCACAAGGGCTGGTAAATCACACAAAAATGTGTATCTATATGTGGCTCCAGGTAAACACACTACTTACTAGGTGTGGCTTGAACCATTGACTTTAAGCCTCAATTTTCCCTCTTTAAAACTGCTGAAGATTAATGTGGTAAGGGCAGTGTCACGTGCACAATAAGCAAGAACTCTGCAGGCAGCAGCCTAGCACTGTTTCCTGCATCTTTATTTTCCATACACCCTATTTACCTAAGTCTTGAGTCCTCAATAAACTATGTACTTTAAAAACTGATACACTTAACTCTTGGTGTTTGAGAGATTTAGCTAAAGTGAGCATGTCCATAGGTGGAGTATTCTGTCTGAACTCCTGAGAAGGCTCTGGAAATCTCTTTGCCAACTCAAGAGGCAAGCAGTCTATCCAGGGATTTTTTTTGAGTCCTTTTTGTTCTTTCCTACCCACCACCCTAGGCTTCTGATAGCCTGAGCAGGCCACCACAATCTAAGTGGTGCCCTGGAACCAGTCTTTCAGACTGGAAAGCAGCCATGGTCTGGGGTGCCAAGCAACAGTCCCCAGACCCACTCCATGAGATGGGCATCACACCAAAGCCCCTCCTGACCTGTCTATGCTGACTTAGCTGAAGTGACTTTAGTCACATGTGGTCCTGAATAAAGGTCTCCAAGGAAGCCACCAAGCTGTCTAGGCTTTTCTACTCAAAAGAATTTCTTAAGAAAGTGGTGATTTCTTCCCTGATTACGATTACTATGAACAATGAAGTTGCAGATACAGGCTACTCCACTAGGACTTCCCAGGACGTGCCAAAACTCTGCTGCCCTCTGTTCCAGTCACCTTTTCTAGGAGAGTCTTGGCTTCTGGGTGAGCGGCAGAATCTGGGAGGGGAGATTCCCAGAAGGGGAGAAGTGTCACCCAACGTACCGCTATGCAAAGAAAGGTGGTGGGTGGGTGTTGAGGCTCCATCAAATATCGCTCTGTCCAGAAAGTCGATGGTGGACTCCGTGTAAACAATCTGGAAGACCTGGCTGAGCAGTGAGCACAGCTCTTCCGCAGCTCCCTGGGGTGTGGGGAGAGGGAGAGAAGAACAGCTGCTTTGGGTAACATGAACTGTCTTCTGTTAGCTAACCATTTCCTTGTATGTATTCCAAAGTGCCCTGATTGCTTCAGATGCTTAGGAATATTGCCGGGTGAGTAGACAGACGATGAATTAGTGAGTGAACAAAGCATAAACACCAGAACCAAATGTCCCTCTGCCTTTTACAGGCAAAAGGGGGTGTCATAACAGAGACCCAGCTGATTGCCCTGGGCCTATCTAAGACCAAAAGGTGTCCCAGCTGTGTCCTCACACTTGGGTGACGATTACAGGGCAAGGGTGAGGGAGCTGGCTTGCTGGTACCTTCTTCCTCATTCATCTCTCTGACACTTCTCTTCCCATTTCCTGAACTGCTAACTCTCTCCCCATAGCACCTACCCTAGTTCATGAAAAAAAGAAGAGAAGACAGTGTCAATAACATAGCACATGCAGGCAGCGTTTTCAACATATGACAGTTTTTTAACAGTGTGCCGCTTGTTGCTTTACAGCAAGTCCTCAACTCGGGGCAACTCTGCCCCCTAGGGACATGTGGTTGTGTCTGGAGACAGTTTGGGTTACCATACCTAGGGGCACGTCTGACATTTGGTTGGTAGAGGCCAAGGATGCTGCTAAACATCCTACAGTGAACAAGATGGCCTCACAACAAAGGACATGTTCTTAGTTGCTGTTGAGTCAATTCCTACTCATAGTGACCCCATGTGTGCACAGAAGTGCTCCATAGTGTTTTCAAGGCTATGACCTTAAAGAAGCAGATTGCCACGCTTGTCTTCCAAACAAAGAACCATCTGGTTGGAAATGTCAAAAACGCTGAGGGTCAGAGCCTTGCTCTAGGACACTCTATATGGTGCAGTCACAATAACTCGCTTTATAGATATGAAGCAGAAAGGCATTAAGTGACCTGCCCAAGGTTACATGGCTACTAGGGGACTGAGTGGGGCCCAAACAGCACCCCCAACCCTTATCTCCTACCCTAGACCCTAGTGGTATGGAGTCCACTGTCACAACAGGGATGGGGAGAGTGAGGCACTGAGAAGGGGCAGAGAGGCAGGCAGAGCCCAGGACAGCCTGGGCTCAGTGGTAGGTGGCAGGGGCAGTGCAAACTCTTACTTTGCTCTCCGTAGCCAGGACGACCAAGCAGCATGCTTCAATGGGCACCACACCGCTGCCTGACAGGGAGCCAGACGTCAGGCCACGGGAGCTCTCTGCGCACAGACTCTGGCTGGGGGAGATGCCGGGGTCCTGGGCTGGGAACACACACCGTCTCAAGTTAGGGCACTGAATGGTATAGTGCCTTCCCGGGCCAGGCAGGAAGGCTGATGTGCAACAGGAAGACCTGGGCCAGCCACAGCCTATGTGAATCCAACACCTGTGCCCTCAGAAGCTGCTCTGCAGACAAACCCAACTGTGTTCCAGGTGACTCTGACTGGTCCCCCAGAACAGCACATGGATATATGCCTGTACCGTGTATCTCTTATTAGGAGCCCCCGTCAAAGAAACAAAGGATATGGCAAGGATGCAGCAGGCCCTTGCCCACACCACTTCCAGGTTAAGGATGACAGTCCTCAAAAGAGTTCTCTTATAAGACTGGGCTTGTTTGTCATCAACTATTAGAAAGTTCAACTAGTATGTTTCTCCTATGGCCATCTCTCCCTCTTAAACAATCTGTTTTTCCTTTTCCTTATTAATTCATTCTATCAGTTGACACTGAGAAAGACTCACTCAACAAAGAAAGTAAGAGGAACCCCCTCAACATCCCTCCCACCAAGCTAAAATACCTGCAGGAATCCCAATCAGAAGCCAGTCTCAGTTCTCTGTCCCTGAAGAATGCCCAGACTTAAAGCTCCTACAGGAACTATCAAACAGTATCAGGAAGAATAGTTAGAAGTTGTTAAAAAGCAGTAGCATTCTAAAGCCAGACAGACTTGGTTCAAAATCATTTACTAACTCTGGCCTTTGTGAAGTTACTTAATGTATCTGATCTCAGTTACTCTATAAAATGGGAGTATAATAGAATCTATAGATTTAATTATGAAAATTAAATGAGATTATTCATGTAAATGCTTTCTATTACTTTGAGCATATTGCCTTCTTTTTTTTTTTTCTTTAAGGCTATAATGGTTAATTTTAGGCAGCTTTATATGGTTCAACCTAATTTAATGTCTGGCTTTAAAAAGCAGATAATGACTCTACACCATAAAGGAAAACAAAACAAGCAAAGTGAGGAGAGGCCTGCACTCAGCAGTGCCAGATAACAGTGCAAGTGGTGTGAGAGTATATGTAAGAACATAAGTAAGAATGTGTGAGACCGACTATGTGTGAATGTGTGCAATGGTATATGAGGGAGCATGAGTGTATGATAGCATGTGTAAGAGTGTGTGTGTGAGGTGGCGTGTTGGAAGCTACTGCTACACCCATTGACAAGAGGGGCTGTAACTTTCAGAACCACCTTCATAAACCACTCGAGTTATGTTCTGTGGGGTGGAATGGAGACACTCCCATTAGGTTCATAGGCTGTTTTCTCTGGACTGTTCTCTAGAGCTCACCTATACTGGAGGTCTAACAGCTCAAGTAATCATGAGAAAGCTCACCAAGGACTTGACTTTTGAAAAAAGCCCTTGGATTCCCAGTGAACTTTGAAACTCAAGTAAAAAAGCAATTTTCTCTCTCTATTCATTAAGGCCAGGCCCACCCTTCTAACAGACTTCAACACCCTGCTGTCAGCCCTTTTGAAATGGGTGGCTTCAGGTTGAGCCCAGGATAATGTCATTACTTTAACACCAATCTCAAAACAATCTCAGGAGTAGGGTACAAGTCCTTTCTCCTCCCTTCTCTGTGAATTAACACCATAGCCCAAGGTCTGTACAGTAACAATGTTTCTCCTATGGAGCTCATTCTCTTATTCTTAAACAATCTGTATTGTTTTCCTTAGACACATCAACAGATGCAAAGAGGGAATGTTCTTATGTAAATGAGGAGCCAGATTCTACCTGAATGCTCAGCAGTTTGTTTTGATTCTACAACAAAAGAAATATCAGGTGAGTCAAGCCAACCAAGAGCTCCTAAAGAGCTGCATCTTATTGTAGCACTTAGTTCTTAGAAATGTATGTGGCTGTATTTACTCACTCTGCACTCAAAATGGTAGCTGAGCTGAGGTGAGGACCCACCCACCACCCAGGCATCGCTCTTCCTGTGCCTGGACACTGGATATTTTATGACGACTCTATTGTACCCTCAGTAGCAGGGCTGAAGCCAGCCCTCCTGGGCAGGAAATTGACTTAATGATATCAGTCCCCAATATTCATGTCTCTCATTGATTCCCCACAAGGTGCTGATTGAGTTAAGTGATTTGGCTCAGTTCTGTTATACTCAGTAACCTCCTGTGCCAAGGCCTTCTGTGGCCAATGCCTGTATAGGGATGGGCCTCAGAGAGAAGGGCCACTCTCATTTGTTCAAGCAAGGGGACTCTCCCACTAGACCCCACCCAACTTTGTGCCGTAAAAGCTGTCTCCATAGCTTCATTAAATCTGTGGATTTACTCCCAGGACAAAGCCATGGCTTGTTTCTGCCTCTTTAGCCCACACGCCAGTTCTGTACCTGTCTTCAGGACCACCAGGTGAGCTGCATCATCCCGGACATAGGAGACAGCAGCAATATCATGGATAGGGACCCTGAGGATGATGTCTTCTCCATCTCTCCATGCCAGCTTGACATTGTAGGCAGAGAGGCTGATCACGGCATCATGCTCCTGGGTGAGGTGTCCAGGGAGCTGGTGAGCCCTCTGGAAAAATCCACAGGTCATCAGAAATGCAGGGACCTGGCTGTGGCTTTGGGTCAGTGCTCCACTCTTAGGAACACCCCACACCCCTACACCCCCAAACCCCCGGCTGGCTACATATAAGTCACAGAGCCAGTACTTATATAATAAAGCAAGGATATTCCTATCAACAGTCATACCACTTCAGGAAGGCTACATGAGACTCTTAAGGAACTGCCTTTAGATTCAGATCTCTAGGATGCTGTTTTGATTATCTTGAAGATTTTTATTTTGGAAATAGCCCTAAATCAGATGGCAAGTCTAGTGAATTAAGTGAATGTTCAGATTGAGAACACTCTTTATGGCCAGGAGCGAGACACATCTATGTTGTTATGTGCCGTTGAGTTGGACTCAACTCATAGCGACCCCTCCTTGGGTTGCTGAGGCAGTATCACTACGGAAGTAGATTGCCCAACCCTCCTTCTGAGGAGTGGCTGGTGGGTTTGAACTGCCACCCTTCTGGTTAGCAGTCAAGTGCCTTAGGCACTACACTACCAGAGCTCCTGAGGCACATCTAGACCCTAATGAAACTGGACTACACCACCCACCCCAAATATGAAGGCCAAGGGTAAGAAAGGACACAGAGTGCTACTGGTGTAGGCTCAGGACACTGCAAGGAGTTAAGAGGATGTGATTACCTTTGCATTGTCTATAAAATGCAGAATTTCAGTCCTACTGGAGGGATTCAGATATCCTGGTATGGAGGTTAACTGACCTAAGTACTGAAAGAGATTAGAGAAAATAGCGCCATGAGAAATTGAAGACTATTCCAACGCCATTCTGATGTCGGAGCTGGTACAGACTACCTGTCTCCGAGCATTCCTGAAAGGAGGCCTAGTCTCCACACTGCTTTGCAGCAGAATCCCTATCTAGAAAAAATGTCTGTGTTCTTACAGAAATTTCCACTGGGTAGGACCACTCTCCCCATTCTCCACCACCCTGCATTGTGTTCCATAAAATGTTGCAAAAGGCAAGACTTGTTTTGGCGTAACTTGGACTTCTACTAATAACTCTCATAGACAAAGGACCCTGTTAGTGTGGGAAGTCACACGGCCAGTGACTGCACGGTGTGTTGGATTCACATCTACAACGCTACTACCTAACACATGTTTTTTTAAAGAGTACTTTGTTTTTTAATGAGTTACTAATTTCTTCCTAAGAACAGATGAACTGTACACAAGATTACACAGTTTTAATCATTAACTCACATATTTATCTATTACAAAGGGACAAAGTTAAATTTCTATCTAGGCAGTGCACCATGGACACATCTCCTTTTCTGGACTGACTCTAGGAACTTTTTCTTTTATGAACTTTGAGTACAAATTTACAAAGCAGATTTGTCTTATATTTAACAGTTCATGTACATTTGATTCCATGGCTCCAATTACAATCCCCAACCAAAAAAGAAAAAAAACTCTCCTCCTCTCTCCTCCCTGTGCCCTTTTATCTATACATTCCTGTCTATGTGAATGCTGCCCCTCCGATGTCTCATGGTTGATGAATGTAAGGGATGTATCTCCCTAGGGTAGGTGGGTACATCTCCCTGGGGTTGGTGTTCTGCAGGAGGTCTTTCTACTGTTGGGCTGAGAGCCAATGCACCGAAATGAGTCTATTTGTACTTTAGGCAAGGTAGAGCAAAGAGAAATATCCCTCATAGCCAAAGAGAGCTGCCTTTCATTCTCTTGTGAAGATAAGCATCACTATTTATATATTCCCCAAAAAAGAAAAATCACTGACAATTATAATCATAAAACAATACTGACTGAAAACAAAATACTGATTGTAAATGTTAAAATGTGAAAAGTTCCTTAGTGACATAATAACAAGTACTACATTATATAATTAACAATCATGGGAGATCTGGTGGCGTAGTGCCTTGACTACTAACCAGAAGGCGGGGTCACTATGAGTCGGATCCAACTCAACAGCAGTTGAGTTTGGTTTGGTTTGGTTTAATTAACAATCAGAACTTTATAATCTCAAAGGTTTGAAGAAAGTTAAAAGTCTACATTAAGGTCACATACTCTCTGATACTTATACTAGTATACTTATCACTCTTCAGAACCATAATCAAACAATGACTGCAATTTAAAATCCAGCCCTAAAATCCAATTCTAAAAAATGATCAGAGAATGGAAAAAATGTCCAAATTTCTATTCATTCAGAAATCCCACCCACTATATTCCTAATTTATGGTCATTAATCCACTGCGTAAATATTTCCTGAAATAGGAAATGCAATACTTCCTAAGGTACTCCATTCTAATGCAGAAGAGCTGATATTACTAGAAAGTTCTATGTGCTGGAAGTCTTACTAGTTTCGCTGGCTTGATCTCTAATGTTCTTGTTTTCTGATCTCTATCTTTTGGTTCTCTTTTCTGAGAGTCATTCGTTACTCTTTATCTTTTACTTTTCTATTGAATTTTTAATTCTGGCTGTCATAGTTTTAATTTCCAAGAACTATTTCTTGGGGATCCAGCAAGATGGCGGACAAGGCAGAAAGACTGCACAGACCCTCTTCAACAAAGATAAAGGAAACCAATTAAAACAGACACAGAAGATAATCCTGGACCCCTGAGCATTGAAGGGAAGGATACAGAAGTGGACTAAGCCCCAACTAGCAAAAGAATTTGAGTGAAAATACAAAAAAAGTAGACATATGGAACTGCAGTCTGGCAGCAATCTGGAGCGATCCTGACGGCACAGACAGCTTGGAGATTCCCGAGTGGTGGTAGGACCTAAGAATTAACCTAAAAATCACCTGCTAGCCAGGGACTGCACGGACGACTGTGCACGGTGGCTGGGGAACAAATGAAGCATGTGAAGAGAAAGGCGGGCTGAGCTGTGGACCTTTGCCGGTCCAGAGGTCGCTGCCATTTTGAAGGTTTAAAAAGCACCTTTACTATATCGGATATTTAAAGAGACAGCACTCTCGCAGATTCGTGGAGCATAAGAACACGTTCTGCTTTCCAGCAACCCCAAGGACACTCAGGACCTGAAAGACTGAAAAGGTACAACACTCCACTTGTTACTCTTATACCGCACACCCGCTTGGTGAACAGAGGTGCAGCCATCCCCCCCAGCCACCTACATTCTGGGCCCACAGGACTTCCATCACAGTCTCTGTGCTCAGACGGAGGATGGGTGCACTGCCCTGTCCTCCACTGATTTTTTCTTTTCTATTTCACTTTCTTTTTTCTGGTTATTACTTTGCTTGTATTTGTCTGTTTCAAAACAACTAATATTATTAATACTTTTGTCCATTTTATTACTATCCTTAATTCTCCCCTTCCAGGTCCTAGTTTTCAGTATTTTTTCTTTTCTCTGTGCCTAATTGATTTTTTTTTTTTTAATTTAAGGTTTTTTTCTTTTCCCCCCTTTTTATCATGATTAACCCCATTCCTTGTTTTTCTTTTTGCATTTTTCCTATTTTTTGTTCATTTATTATTCTCATTCACTACTTTTTTTTCTTAGTGCCCTATCCACAGATATTGCAGGTTTTCTTGTTTTTTCTTTTTCTTTTTTTCTTTCCCTCTTTTTTCTTTTTTTTTGGTTACTGTTGTTGTGTGAATACATGGTGTGTTTTTGATCCATGGGCTTTTAGTTTTTTAATGGTTATTCAATTGTAATTTGTGTCCAACTGAGTGGGAGACAACAACAGTCCCCATAAGACACGATTACACCCACACCTCCTGCAACTTCACTTACTGAGCGAAAGCCACTAACTATCTCCTTCACCAAAGGGCCAATGATAAAAAACCACCAACAAGAGTCTGAATCACCCTTGGCTGCTCTTCAAAAACAGTTAACAGAGATCTAAATACAACAACGCCATGATGCCTTGGAAAAAACAGACCATCACAGTCCACATAAAGAAGCAGGATAAAGTGGTAGAAACAAGG